ATCCAAGTAATTAAAAGTCAAGTTTTGCGATATACGGAACATTTGTGTGACAAGTGTGATAGCTTGGCAAAAGTCGATTTGATCGACGCGAACATTCCTACACAATAGGGTTTCCGGTCGCAGATGGCTTTTGGATAGACACGCGAAATCGCATTGGCTAAGTGGCACTTATATGTATGTATATATACCATAGAAACAGGTCGCCTGCACTTTCAGCGGGGTCTTATGCGGACCAGCTAAGACAAAGCCGAGTGAGGCGCATTTGCAAAGAAGGATCGTAATATAGCGTGAGAAAGACAAAGTTTCCAAGACAATATACATTTACTGAAATCGAACGTCACTGATGCCTGGCAAAGTATATATGCAATAATGGTATCTAGCATAATTAGCAAGTAATCTGTGATGTCTTCCAAAAGTGCACAACGCGGGAGAGATCAAATAATGCCTAATTGTTAATACAAGCTATCAAAACAACTACGGTCTACAGAACAAGCACTGAAACACCGGCGACTGGAGTCGAGCTATTCTGAGAGCGTCTCTGCACTACGGAAAGCGCAGCAAACCTCACGCATACAAAGCAACGGTGCAATGACTTGAATCCATGAAATGATGGCTTGGTCAGCGGCATTCGTTCTGGGAGAGGGAGACTTCAATGACCGAATCGGTTTTAGCCGGAATACGCCAGTAGGTTCAGACAGGATCTGACCTCGATCGAATCGAACCGCCCAGGCATATAAGGAGCAGTGTTCCACTATTTTGATAGCAAGTGTCGCACAGACTCCCGCAGTACTGCGTCTTGCTTACACCTGGTAAGTCTGGGTGATGTTTTACCTAAGGGAAGCTTAACGGACTATCTAGGCGTGATTATTCGTACCATACGGCTTGCTATATTATGTACATAACATGTACGTACGTTAGGTGTGACAGTGTATGTATGGACATATATACTAAGTAGTAGCTCACATATATAATAGACAAGTATGGGTTGAGTCAGCTGTTTGCGCCGGCAACTGACTAAAGTCAGCCAGGTCTTCGGCGAAATCAGTTGGGGATCGGAGGTTCAAGCCCCACAATACGACATACGGTACACAATTAGAGTGAGGCTAAGAGTATCTTAATTGATTCGTTTGCGACAAAATAGATAAGCGAAGAAAAGCTTCATGAAAGCAGAGCTTCGACGATGGAACCCATAAATAGTATTTAGGTTCCTTTTTCGTAAGTTCTCTCAGTGGCTGTTAATAGGGCTCGCATAGAATAGACCGAAAATCTACGACTGTTTATTAAAAAACAGTTGTCCTGACATTGAGTGAAGGTATGTGCAAAGGTATATTGAGTATTGAACCTGTTTAGAAAATGGTAAAAATTATCAGTGCCGCTACGTGTTAAAGGTTTCCGGTACACTATAATTTGCTGTAATTTTGCAGGAGATCTCGTTTGGTACACGGAATTTCTACGGCATGAACTTATCATCTTACTGACAGCATCTGTCCTATGTAACATGCTATCTAACCCGCGCGCCGTCAACCTTGCTCTCTGCAACTCTGCTCGACTATAAAGAGCTGCCCCGGTACAGCTGACGTACGGAGAAAATTATCTTGCAGAAAAGTTGAACTGACAATTGCGGCTAATAAGTTAGAATGTAGGTGGTAAGAAGTAAAGGAGTTTATACCCGTGGTTTCGAACTTGGAACACGTGATCAAGCAAACTGCTCATGTTGGAGGTAAGGAGAAATCAAGGTCGATTTACACTTCGTAGATCTATTTATTCGGATCCTGTCATGGAATGCTAAAAATCTAGTAATACTTAGAATTTTTTCGAAACATTACGCGCGACCCTGTGACATGTATTAGAAGATTTCAAAATAAAGTCGTGTTCCATTCGGCGGTCAAAGAAGCTGTGTTTAAAATTTATTATGTAACTGCGAAGCTTGAGAGGGTATTACCAGACCATGTGTATGTTGCATTGGATATAAGGATGCCGACTCCTAGAAGTTATTACCTCCGTCTCCTGAGCGAGAAATGTAACTTGTATTAAGGGATCTGTGAAGTCTTGTCTTCGACTATTTTGTCGACTGAAGATCGATTGAAGAGAGAGTCAATGGATGATCCAAAGAAAAGTAGTTCTGCAAGTTTTTACAAACTTCGTCTTCGATCATTTATAGCTTCATAAGCGGGATGTAGGGTAATGAAATATGAGGTTAGATTAGAAAGGCCCTGATATCGTAAATTTTTGCGCTTTTTTCCTCGCCGACAGTTCGATCACCTATGAATCGAATAGTCACTGCTTAATTTGTGTAGAAAATAATAGCTAGCAGTTTTGCTATCGAGCATGTGGTTACTATCTGTGTGAGCGCCATGGTTGACAATTATGGCGCTCATAAAAACAAACTTCGTCAATGTTTTTTTGTGAGCGCGAGCCTATAATCGGATCCAGCTGCTTTTCACTGTTATTTTCTGCGAACCCACCATCACTGTGCATTTTGCGTCCTCCGGTCGCTTCAACTATCGTTGTTTAGTCCTGATAACTCGTCGACGCAGAAGGAAGGCGACGGTCTGCGGCCGAACCGGTATAACGCTCATCGCACTGGTAACGAATTACACAGACAGAAAGCTGCAGACGCCACATCAAGTACACACCGAGATTTCCATTGTAAGCTGGCTGCCTGGCAAGTAAGCTAATCGTGGCCGATTCCACACGATCGAAGTTCTGCGCCCAGACGGCCAAGTGAGACTACAAGTGTCTGACAGAGTGAGGGAGCAAGCAAATAGCACTAGTCGAAATTGTGTATTACTGTCCGACTGCCTGAGAGCTTGCGGTTACAGTAGCAGCTTCCCCCCACCAAACTCAAAATGGAGTACGTTGTTCAATATTCTTGTCGCACCATCGAACTATAAATGAAAAAGCAAAGGCAAAGATAGGAGCTCAAAAAACTGCCATGCTGGCGTATATCACCAGCAGACGACTGCAAGATGTCTATGGCATATATAATAGCGTTTGCCAGCTTTATTTGGCGAATAATGAAAAAGCGCTAGTAAAAAAAAAGATATACCATACATGAACCCTATTATATCCACTATAAGAGGTTGGAGAGAGTGCTACTGTTTTCCCCAGCAACAGCGCAGTTCAACGACGACGGCGGCTCAAGCTGCAGTAAGTGCGCAGGAAGAATCAAGCAAAGCAGGGTCGCCGTTTGCAATAACAGCTGCAGCAGCAACGCCAAGAGCCGTTGTCATTCCAGCTAGTGGAAACGATAACTGTCCGATCGAGGATTCCCCAGTCCTATTTCCCGCGCTGCCGCAAGCCGCTTGTCGCCTGGCATCCTTTAACAGCAGCAGCTGCAGCCCAGCGCAACATCTCTTCGGCACTGGTGGTGAGGCCGACAGGGCAACAGCGGCAACATCATGTCTTTTTTTGATTTAGCTGGCGTCGGCGTCTTTGGCGCGACCTACCACACACGCCGTGGTCGAGTCGCGGGCAAACAGTGATATTGCCCGCCGGTGGACTCACCTAGAACGCGACAGGCCAACTGTCCAAGATGTCCAAGTAGAACTACAAAGTTGTACCTGTACCACACCTACCTAGTTGTAATAACTACTAGTATTAACTCATTCTAGTCTTGTCTGCCAATGCTGCTGCTGCTGCTGTTTCTCGTTAATAAAGGCGAGGTAAGAACCGAGTACACTTGTCGAATGGTGACCGTAACAACTACAAGCACATTGCCACCTAGCAGCAACCACAACGGTGGCTGGCGAACTCCATTTTCGCTCTTCCTTTTGGCGCTACCAAGGCAGTGCCTATACCACCATCATCAGCATCACTAGCAGCAGTACTATACAAATGCCTGCTGTAGCAGAGATGGCCAACGCGGCGAGAGTCGTCGTCGGCCACTGAGCTAATGCTACTGCCCCCCGTGGACTGATTGGTTGGTTTACACACACAAAAATACGTTCGACGGCGTCGGCGGCGGCGGCGGCGACGACGACGACGACGACGACGATAACAACAGCAATAGCAACGGGTTGTGATTATTTATAAGCTCGATCATGCCATCAGCGTTGGTCTATTATTCCGCATTACGTAACAGCAAAAGCACTTATGTGTAAGCGTGTTTTTACAAGTTCCTTTTTTGGCTCTAATATTGGTTTTTATAGGTTGCTGAGATTTTTGTCTTATTAAAATGTTTAAGCTAGTACTTATTGCAATCATATCACGATTAGGGACACACGTCACACGTTTGCGGGATATAATAGTCAGCTGAGCAGCACGTACTACTTGTCAACATACGATACGGAAATGAGATAACGTCATGAAATGATGATACATTTTATTGTTTGGGTACGTGAGTACCGGCGAATTTGTATATTTTGTCAGAACGCATGAAGATAGACGGAGTGTGTATACTGACGGGTCTGGACAGTCTTTGTTAATGTATGATAATGTTTAGCAAGTACGCACTGTACCTACATATAGCAATGACTTTACCGTTTATATAGAGCGGTAGAGTGTAAGGGGAAACTTATCGCTTACGGAACTCAAATCAGCGCGTCCTAAGAGAAATTGAAGCGTGACTCGATGTTTTTTTACTACGTTCGTATACTGTTACGCTTTTGACGTCTGAAACGATGACCCCGCTGTCACGTCTTCGCCACTCGTCATATTATCCCAAGTGGCGGTTTTTCCTATACTATTTGTCTCTTGTAGGTTACCTTCAATGAAGCATTAATCATTGCTGATGCATAGTTCCAACCCACAAATGCAGGCCATCATTTCCTATATGCCATAACATGATTCGTATCACATGACGTGGCTGGCCAAATGCCGTACGCACAACCCCGGCAACGATTTTTGTACATTAAAAAATCTAGATCCCCTTATGCGTTCTGGAGAAATGGCTGTCCAGTGAGCAGCATTTCAGGGCCCCACTCAGACCCCTCGGTTTACATCGCAGCAGAAGCAGACGGCCACCACCATCATCAGCATCACCCTCAGCGCCATCATCACGCCGCTGCTGCGGCCGCTACAGGGTTGTGCTTCCTTGCTCTATAAAGCTATACAGAACTCGCTGCTCGTATCTGCACACATAAACGCAACCTAATAACGAAATACATACACACACAGAGCGACCCCGACAAACGCGCACGCGGCCATAGATTCAAGACCAAGACCGTAGCCTTCGCCGCCAGCGGCGGCACCATTTCTCTTTCTCCTTTTCTCGCCCATTCGGTGACGTCTTCGTGCCAGGCCGCCGCTGTTCGGCTATGGCACCAACAGCAGCGGCAGCAGCAGCAGCGGCGGCGTCGTCGTCATCGTCATCGTCGTCGTCTCGACTCAGCAACTCAAGCAAACGACGAACGAAACCAACTGCTCTTACGATGACGACGACAACGACCAAACGCCATATAGCCAGCCGGCCAGCCATCTATGCTTACTGGAGATCGTGGCGCCCCCCACCAGCCATCGTCACGCTAGCAGACGACATACGCTTGCCCTGGCTTGGTCTGTTGTATTGGCGGCGGCGGCGGCGGCCCGCTGCTCTGTTGTTGTTCGCTCCAGTTGTTCTACTCGCGCTCGTCGTCGTAACGTTCGTTGCTACTGCTAATGCCAAGTGCCGGCTGCGGCTTGGTGGGTGTTTCCCCTCGCTTGCATTTTCTCTCTCCCGTGCTCTCCCTTCGTTTGTCGCGCTTTCTCACCCGCCGCAGGCCGCTGTGTTCGGCCGGAATGGCGGCAGCGGTTCTGGCAACGGCGGAGTCTTTGGCGGCTGCAGAAACAGCATCACAACTATCTCGTGGCTATAGCCGCTGCTGTAGCGGCTGCTATTTGCTCGTTGTTGGCTGGTTCAGCTGCGCCGCCGGCGACGGTGGCGGCGGCGGCAGCAACGGCTGTTGATGCTGCTGCTGATTCGTGGTGCTGCTCTTACCGCTGTTGTATGTAGGCAGCCGCGCTGCCGATACCAGCAGCCAGAGTTCGTCGTTCCGTCGTTGTCCTCCTCCTCGTCGTCGCTGTGGCAGTAGTCGTAGTGGTAGTCGTAGTGGTAGTGGTGATGCCAGTGTGGTGGTGGTGGTGGTGGTCGTTGTCGTCGTCGTCGTCGTCGTCCAGAAGCAGCAGGAGCAGGAGCAGTCGCCGAGTGTTAGCAGGTACAGCCGCAGCAGAGTTCAGTGTTGTCGTCTATCGCAGGCGGCGGCAGTGGCAGCCGCGGCAGGACAGCGAAGAGAGACGAGTGGTAGTCAGTCGATCGTCAGTCGTTCGGGTCCGTTCGTGCTAATATTCTTCTTTCTGTATCTTACTACTGTACATTCGCGTGTACAGATCGACTGAGTATAGTCGATCTTGTGCGTGTGCCCCTCTGCCCGTTTGTCTTTGTTTGCATGTGTATGTGCGTGCGAGCGTGCGTGCGTGCGTGCGTGTGTGTGTGTGACAATAAAGTAGGAAGCCTGTCCGGTTCAATCTCGTCGCTCGGTCGCCTGCCTGAGTGCCGCCCGCTCGTTCGTCCCTTCGTTGGATCGTTGTGTCTCTGTGCGTATTCGTGGTTGTGTGACGTGTGAGAGCGCCTCGTCAATTCGGCGGTGCTGCTTCTGCTGCTGCTGCTGCTGCTGCTGCAGCAGGTCGACTAGTTTTTCCTACTATTACTGCTGCTGCTGTTATAACTACCAACCATTATAAACCATTACTAATACTGGTGCAACTGTAACTACCTCGGCTGCTAAGGCAGCCTCCGCCGCTGCCGTTGCCGCTACGGAGTCAATAGCCGTATCGGTAAAAAGTGCTCTTGCTAGCCGTGTACAGCGAGCTGGTGGTACGTTCAAATTGTCATAGGGCTCAGCACATATAACGACACACTATTCACCACTATATATATATACACATATATATAGATATAAACATATACTGTAATACAAGAACAGTTGTATTCGCCGTGTTCGGTACCTTCGGTGGTGTCAGCGATTGTGTTCGTGCACATCAAGCAACAAAGACTCGAAGAAGAGAGTGTGAGTTTAAAAAGTGCTACGTCCAGGAGTGTGTTTGGTGTGGGACAGCGTTCGGTTAGGTTCGTTTCGGTTACGCTGCTGCCGCCGCCGCCGCTGCTGCTGCTGCTGCTGCTGCTGCAGTAGTCACCGTCGCCGCTGTTGTGGCAAAGCCTCAATGAATGTTGTTTGTTAGGCAGTCCCCTGTGTTTCTTTCGACTGCTTGGCCCATCACCGCCGCCGTTGTCGTCGTCGTCGTCGTCGTCGTCGTCGTCGTCGTCGTCGTCGTCGTCGCCGCTGGCAGTAGTGAGCGCTGCTATTGCTGCTGGTGAGTCTCGATTATGTACACAGCACCTCCCCTCGACCGCTGGCGTTCGAGAGGTGAGGAGCTTTTGTGTCACTTGTTTTACTGATCTTAGTTGAAGTACTCTGTGTGTGTGGATGTGGTTAGCTGTGTGGACGTATGTGAGCGCCTGGGGGCGGTTTGCGGGGTCCGGCAAAGAGAGGGTGCTCCATGGTGCAGATGTTAACACGAACCCCCGACGTGGGGACACAAACTGAATTGACTCTGCTGAGAATACGGAACACGTCCGCCGGCAAAAAAAAGCACAATATTTGTGGCGATGGTAAGCGAGGATTTCGATGCTGATCGATGAAACCGATTCTGCAGTAGTGCGTGTATAGTTCCAGCCGAAATTCACTAAGAACAACACGGCGTACACATGTACTCATGATCCTCATGGATTTCTACGAGGATTTTTCGTTGGCTGTGAAATGGGGTAGAGTTGTAAGTTGTAGGCAATGACGTGGTCGTTGCGAGTGATACTATTGCTGCTGGAAGAAATAAGTGTGCCAAAGTTGGTGACCGATTTGCTGTGTGCTGGTCAACAACCCACCGAGACGACACAGCAACAAAGCATTCTACATGACACATTATAGACTTGGGACGATTGAGAATTGACACTGGTTTTTCAGAAAAAACGTTCTGTATGTTGTGTATCTGGAGTTCTATTGAGAGACTCGAGCTAGAACATCGTTTGCTAGTGTTTTCAGTTTCCCTGGACACTGTAAATTGTTGTGGACAGTGGTGTTCGGTTCTTGATCTTTATATGTTTGAATTGAATTTCCAATAAGCGGTTGTTTTTATTCAGTGTATACCGTGGTTCTACGGGAGTTGTTAGAGCAATGCTGGCTCAGCTGAGTAATCGACAATAATAATAGTTCTATGTCATTGCACGCATGAGACGAAGGACCGTGCCGGTGGCAGTGCTGATAGTTGCTTTGACTTTTATTCCAGCTGACGTCAAGCGAATTTTTGGGTATTAATCTGGATTGTGTCGCTTGCAGAAAACGCAGCGGCTGTTTGCCTTCAAGCAAAGCAGACAAGTACGACGAATCACAATTACAATGCAAATGTCACGTACAAATTGCATTCTACCCAGCTGACAAACTCCCCACTCTAAGTGCTCGATACCTGTTTCAAATTTTTGCCGAGCACGGTAAATTAGTACATCTTGATTCATTTATTTAGGCTTTGCTGAAACCTCCAGAATCCTGAGAGCATGACACTGCGTCGGGCAATGGTAACGCATCCAAGACCCAGAATTTCCTTAGCCTGTGGTATTTACCTAAGTTAGATCGTGAGCTATAAGATTAAGATTCGAATCAGCAGGTAACGCTGGGAAGCCTGCTGAATAATAGGGAAACTTCATCTTGTTTCAGTGTAGCATTGGGCAGCTGGCGGGCGACGGCGTCGGTCAATCCGATACCACCACAGCCACCAGCAACAAACCGCCCCGGGGGCCCTTCAGCAAGAAGTCACAGTAACAGTGAATGCAGTTACAACAGCACACAATCGTTTGTGTGAGTGGTGAGTTTGCTGTAAATATGGCCGTGTCTATGGATTAGGGTATAAGTGTCTGTGTCGATTTGTGTGCTGTGCTGTGCGGTGCGGTGCGCTGTGCCGCGTCGGACACAATTTCTCTGTCGCCGCCGGCCTGCCTGCCTGCCTGCCTGCTTAGCCAGCCAAGCAGCCTACAGCATCAGCAGCATCAGCGGCCTGCAGCAGCAGCATCAGCGGCCTGCAGCAGCAGCACCAGCGGCCTGCAGCAGCAGCAGCAGCGAGCGGCAGTCAGTGCGGATAGCAATCGAGCTCTGGTTGGTTGGTATCCGCAACATGGCGGCGGATTTATCCGCAAAACGCTATAGCATCCGCGGATAGTCACCCCTAGCGAGCCGGGCTCCTAGCGAGGGAAGACCGCCGAACAGCCCAACAAACAGTGAGCCGCACACCCGAGACACAGACGAAACGTACAGGCACAGCCCGATAGACAGACAGCAAATAGCCAGACAAGCAGCAGGCGCTCGGTTGCTCACTCGGGTCTTTCGTTCGTTGGTTCGCTCGTCGATAGTCACTCACTCACTCACTCACTCGCTGGTTGCTGCGACAGCGCACAGGGCAGCGGCGGCGGCGGCGGCGGCAGCGGCGGCGGCGACGACAACGACGACGACGGCAGCAGCATCATCAGCAACAGCTATAATAACAACTACGATTACAATTGCTAATAGTAGTCGTAGTAGGGGTGGCAGTGAGTCGTGCGTAGTCTCCACACAAACAGAAGGCCGCCCACTGTTTGCCACTAGCACAGTTGCTGCTGCTGCTGTTGGTGTTCGTTTATCGAATTGGCCGGCGACAGGCGGTCATCGGTGATCGCTAGCAGTCAGGAAAAATCGCAACAGTTTTCCCTGAAAACGTTGCCGCAGCGGCGGCGGCGGCGGCGGCAGCTGCAGTAGCGGTGACTGCTTCAGGCGAAAAACGTGTCAGGAGAGTTTGTGCTGCTGCTGCCAGTAGTGTTTAAGCTGCGTTTCTTCTGCTACTGCTGCTGCTACTGTTGTTGTTGTTGTTGCCGCTGTTATGGTGCTGTGTATAAGTGTGCGTGACCCCTTGCCCCTGTGTGCTATCGAAAAGAGTAGCGAAACGAGTGTAGCAGTCAGAAGCTTGGAAAAGAGTGTTGTTGTTTCTTCTCATGATTTCCCCCCTTCATTCTTCAGTCTGATCATTGTGGAGTTGGCTGGAGTGAGTGAGTGCCGTTGCTGCGTTTGATAAGTTGCCGTGCCAAACCCCACCCGGGGAGTACGGCAGGAAGTTTCGAGTGTGACTCGTGGATACATAGATGGTCGTGCCGTGCTTTGTCGTCGTGCCTTCCGCTGATTTCATGCTGCGTGCCGGCGTGCTGCCATACTGGCACTCTGTTCTAGCCCGGCGGCGGTTGCTTCAGCCAATCCTCAAACCGAATCTCGAATGTCGTCGGTATCCTGTGTGAGTGTTCAAGCAGGAACAAGGGGTAGGGTAACCGAAATCTACGCAGTATTTGTGGGTAAGCCAAAGGGGGTTTGAGCTTGTTGGAAGTGTGGGCAGCAATAGGGCCGCCAGCCTGTCTTGCCCCACGAAGCAATCGAGAACGCTACTGTACTACATACTGTGCTGTGCTGTGGTGTTGCTTGGTCGCCGGCGGGTTGTGTGATCCGGTGCTGTTGAGGAGGCTATTGCCGCTGCTGCTGTCGTTGTCGTCGCCGTCGCCATCGTCGTGGTCGTACGAAGTGGTCAATCGCTTGTACCTGGCGATAGCTGTGATCGTTACCCTAGTGGTCCTGATGATATTGGTGGCGTCTGGCCACTACCATCGTTATCACGTTCCGTTGCCGCTGCTGTTAGGTTTAGGACTCGGCGTTGGAGACCCCGCTGCTGCCGCTGCCGGTGGCCAGCGTAGCAGCAGCAACAGCAACTACTAGTGGTGATCAGTGAAGCCGAGCGTCTGTGATTGTCCTGATTCCTCGTCAACGAACTCTAGTTAACGTATTGCTAGTGGGAATAGAGGTAGCAGTTAAAGTACTAAAGGCAGTTAATGTGTATCTATTTGACAGGTGCTTCGTGCGTACAGTGGCGGGAGGTAAAACATGTGAATTTGTGAATCTGTGATTGTCGACTGTTACTACGACGATAGATGGAACAATGAGAAGTGTCACGCTGGGATTGATGTTCGCTGTTCGTCGCCGTGTTCGGTTTGTGTTATTTTGAAGGGATCTTCGACCGTTCCGTGTTGTTGCTACTGCCTCAATTATTGTGAGTGCGTTTGCGGTGTGTTGTTATTGCCTTGGAATATACTGTACTTTGTCCATAGTAATATGTGGATTTCGCGAGTAACATTTTGTGGACAGCTTTTTTAAAAATTCACCGTGATTCCTGCTGTTGATATATTATTCGTGTCCGATGATAGTATGCCACCACTGAGGTTGGGAATGCTGCCCAGCTAGTTTGTCGATTGTCTGTACTGATATGTGGAAGTGTTGATGGGGCAGATTTGTTTTAACACTGTTGTCCTTCTAGGGGCCCAAACCCCAACAACCAACAATAAACAGTCCGTCAGTCATTGGCGTTATGGTAAATATGAAGTGCTTGCTGTAAGCAGAACAAGTAACACATGAGAAGAATTGTGCAACAGTTAGGTGATATGGTGTTGCGTTTAAAAAAATAAAGTTGAATTCTGAAACCTGAACTGATTGAAAGGATCGTAAGTTTCAACGGCGTGCTTCCGAGACCTCGCGGGTTGAAACGTATCGAATCCAATGTTGTGGTCGAAGCCAATATACGCGTGCTGCCCGATGGTCTGTAAGTTTGCGTGTAAGCTGAGCAGATTGGTGTCTGACGCAGTGTCTCCTGGGGGCCAATGTCTTTAATAGAAAAACTTGCTTGCCTACGTCAGACGGGTTGCGTATAGTATATTGGAGCAGCCTTCGGAGTCGGTCCTGCTCAACGCGTCTGGTGGCACTGAATCGATACCACGTACATAGACGCTACCGTCACTAGTTACATAGCATTCACCTATGAGTACTAGTGACGTGTGGGCTCCGCGAGAAAGCCTTCTTTGAATTAAGAGTGCGAGTATAGCTCATTGTCATGAATCTTTGTGGCATTCTTTAGAGAGAGGAGTAGCCGGAGATATTGGAGGCTACCAGGTGTTTCAACGAGACAATGTGGCGTGTCGCATGCTAGTCGCTGCGGTATACAATGCAAATGAAACATTTGTAAAATGAATCATAGCCTTCATTTGCGCTATTTTTGGAGCGTAGGTTCTTTTCAGTCGGTAGCCAGGACCGTAAAAAGACTGACCAAACAGTGAGCGTGAGCGTGTCAAAGAACCCTGGTCGGCCTAAATACCCATCCAGTTTGCAGTGCTTCGGAAATTGTCGTCGAGTGGAATCTTCTAGCATGCTAGCGATTCGCTATTCCAATTTTCGACACGTTGTTTTCTACGATCTCTTGTGATCTGTTGTCAGCAATACTTTGTCAATGATTCCCATTAGCGCATCACTTCTATTTTCATGCCCTTCTACTGTGTCAGTATAGTGCTATAAGTGTAATATCGTTATTAGCCATTCACTAGTGAACCCTTTTCTGTTTCTGCTATCGGCGGTGTTGCCGTTATTTCGCTGCCGATCCTTTTAGATAGTATTGGTTAAATAATGTTGGGTAAAGTAACCGTACCAAGCCGTGTCCCCATCAACCAGTCAGTGCCATAACAGACCAGCCAGATCTGACCAATAACGACCAGAGTACCACTCACTCTGCACAATTCTTCCTGATCCCTAGGCGAAAACTGCAGTTGCCATTGCCGCACCGCCTGTAACGTCAGATTATTAGCATTGTAATACGTGTTAGTTCATCGTTATGCTAGAGGTTGTTGTTTACCTATTATATTGCGTGTGCTGCTATCTATAATGATGATGCAGATGACAACAATGACGCTGGTGATGATTTAAAAAATCAGAATACGTTGTTGCTGCAACGTCAGAAACAACAGTATGAGGGTAGGACAAGTCGTCATTATTTCTTAGCGGTAGCTGTTGCTGCGGTGGTAATCAATGGGTGGTTTTCATTTCGTACTCTTCATCGTTGTGTCTTCTCGTTGGCGATGCTGTTGTCGTTATCAGATGAACACCTTATGTTGTTGTTTTTAGTTTCTGCTAGTCGTCCTGCGCTGAGCAGACCGGCTCCCCACTGCCTGCTGCCTGTTCTGCGAGATTTGCGACTGCGAGGCGCTGCAGGCTTTGTCCTTCATTGGTGTTGTTTTTGTCGCGACGTTGTTGGCAATGTGCAACTCCCCGGGAAACAACAACAACAACAGCAACCAGCCACCAACAACAACAACAAAAACAACAAGAAAAGGATTCAGGTCTACTTTGAGTTATGTCGGCCGTGGCAGTGGTAATAACGATATTTAGGTAGATGGCTGGTATTGTGAATGTTGTTGGTTCAGAGATCGCTGAGGAGCGGATTTGCCAGATTCGATCGGAGCGAGTCCGTGGCTCTTCTGCTGTCGGGACTTGAGACGCTTGCTGCACAGAACGCCCACAGCAGCGCCGCCACAGTCGGCAGTGGAAGAAGCATGAGCCTTCGATGCGTGTGCTTTTCGTGCCACGACTGCTGTTGCTTCTGGTCGGAGGATTGGGCCTGGCCTGGCCTGGCCTGGCCGGGCTACGGCGCTGTGGCAATACTACTGTGATTACTGCTAACGTAGGTTACCCTGGACTGCTGTTGTGAACATGGAACTGTTTCTCCCAAGAGCACTAAGAGAATGATAGCGGCGAGAGCGGCAGCAGCAACGGCGTTGAACGAACCAGGCACCGCACAACAACAACAACAGCAGTACCGAAAACGTCAATTCCTTCTTCGCCATCGACGTTCGAGTAAACACACATGAAGTGACGGCGGCGCCGGCGGGTGTAACAGCCAGCGAACGACGCCGATGTTGTTATCGTCACCGTTGTAGAAGAGCCCCGCGCCACCTCATTATTACGACTATATTACAAACTATATAATATTATACAGTACCATTTGACGTAGTGGTAGTAGACTATCAGCATTAGTACTTTTGGTGGTGGCGATTATAGCTGCCGTCAACGGCTACCACGTAAGTTGATGGGGGACCAACAGCACGACGACAACGACGGCCATCGCCGTTGCCATGACCGGCTCCATCGCCACTATGTTATTGCCGGTAATAGCGGACGCAGCAGCGGGGTAGTGGAAGGATGGATGAGCCAAATTGTGCGGTGATTCGCAGCGGTCCCGGTCGCTCGGTTAGTTGTCGTCAGCAGCAGTCACTTCATGAAGTCGCCGTCGCCGTCAACAAGAACGCAGATGGCGCCGACAACGTCAGGCAGCGCCGGCGGAAGTGACAGCACAACCAGCGTGGACCAATGGGGGGACGTAGGATGGTGGCAGCGACGTACAGAAACGATGAACTCCGCAGTTGAATCGTTATTGCTGTCTGTTGTCGTTGTTGATGCAGCTGCTGTTGTTGAAGCGCCCGCGCTCATTCACTGCCCCAGCTGAAGCTGTCGGAGCCGAATCGGCTCTTTAACATTTATGCAACAGTGGCAGCATTCTTTGCGCCTAACAGTCTGACGCCGTGTCTTCTACCTACAACTTCTAGTTACTTCTAATTCCTACCTTGGCTTTAGTGCAGCGGGTTCGATTCGGCAAGTCGACTGATTCTATGCTCGTTGACGGAAAGACAGGGAAAAAGTAGTTGCAGCTATGGTGGTTATTGTTATCTAGCAGGCTACCTATGATATCGTGAGTATTTCTTCAGTGATTATCGCACGATTATAAGTGGGACGGGTTGCGTGGTGTACCTGATCATCGGGAACATTCGGAAAATCCTCAAGTAATAACCATGGACTGGTTGCGGAACTAAAATACGAGGGGAAGGGGGGCCAAATTTTTGATGATTATTGAAATAGTGTGACAACAAACCGGAAACAAAGAACTTACGATTCGTTAGAATACAGATTATTTTTCAAATATCGAATGAAAGTTTAGCTATTCTGCATAGAAAAAGAGCTAAAAAGAAACTACTTTTTATTGGACAGTACTTCTGTTTTGTCTGAGCCTCTCTTTACTCTACGTCTCTCCTCCAAGCTCCAATTACTGCTGTAACAATTAGTATTATCAGATGCGGATAGACCATCACTTCATCATCAATATAAACCGTTTTTTTTACAGTAAGCCCCTTTCAACTCAAAACCTCTCCTAGTGCTGCATCTGCTTGATTCTTAAATCGGCCGACAAAAAACCTGACCGCAACTTATTGCCGCAATTACAGATGTCCGCTTCGATATGTTTGTGATCCTCTTAGCGACTAATTTGCTAATATCGGACTAGATCTGCTGTGATTACGGCGAGCTTGGAGGTCAAGAATGGCTAGAACTAAATCTGAACCAGCCAACGACAACAACAACAACAACAGCAGCAGCAGCAGTAACCCCTCTGCTGCACTATACCGCAATGAAACGACGGATGTGCAGATGACTGCGTCGCCGCCATGTTGGCCGTTGCTCGGGTCACTCATCACGGCTCGTTCTGCCTCCACTGCTGTGGTTGGTACTCGGAGACGGAGTGTCCCGTCCCGTTTCATATCCCCTTTTGCTGCTGCTGCTGCAACAGCAGTCAAGGCTCTAACTGGCTGTGCTGTGAGAAAGCGGTGCTGCGGCCGTGCTTTTCGATGGCATCGTTGTTGGTTCTGTTGTTGTCGTGGTCTGTGTTGCCGCTGGGTTGCTTGTCTCTGCTGTGTCCGCTACAATAGCACTAGCAGCAACAAGGCTGCGTCTGCCTGCCTGCTTGCGTTTTTGTTGTTATTGCTGCTGCTACTGCTACCGCTCAGCGGTTCGTCTTTCAGTCCGCCGCGGTCGACAACAGCCATCATGTCGGTGCTGTTGCTGTTATTGTTGCCCGTTGCTTGTGCTTGCTTCGTCGGTCGCACACTCGCCTGCAGCGACGGCGGCGGCGGCGGCGGCGGCGGCAATGGCGGTGGTTGCTTGGTTGCGTTTGGGTCGGCGTCGGTGGGCTCTGGCGATCGCTCGCTCGCTTAGAAGGAGTGGGAAAGGGGGTTCTCTAGGAGTAGTCGTAGTAGTGTGTGTCGTAGTTGTGATGAATAGATATAGTAGCTCTATTCTTCCCTTTCTCTTTGTTGCGATATAGAATAAAATAGGATTGCCGCTACCTCCGTCGTTGCCTCTGTACTCAGTGTACATATCTCTCTATCTCTTTAACCTGTATGTCGACATTCATATATATGTATATATATTCATCATATATATATATATATACATATATATATATATAACATATATGACCTAGGTGGTATTGACAGTAAATGTCTGGCCACGTGTGGGCTGTCTGTTTGCTAGCGTCGATATCTTGTTGTCCCTGAATGCGAATCTTTGTGACTGCGAAATAGTTCAGGCTCATGTGTGTGTGTCTCTATATATATATATATATATATATATATATATATAATATTACGTAAAATTTGTACGCGCTCAAGTAACCGACCGCATGCTGAAGCTTTCAATGCGACTAATGTTGACTATATAAACGCCGACCCTGGTTCAGTTAGCAGCTTTTGCCGTCATAAAAGTTAACAGGCCACACGCGTGTTGAAATAAAAAGTGATATAATGACTATTTCATGTGCCAGTGCTAAAAATGTACTGGCGTTTCTCCAATGAGGGCCCTTGTTATTGCAGACCCGTTGCTGCATGCGATGGGAAAAATGGAGCGTATACTGAGGTGTTTTGCGATGCGATATCCAATAATACAAATAGTAACATAAAGTTAGGTTGGCGAAGAGTTCACGCAATTAAGTTAGCGCTCCTAAATTTTGTATATTTCAATTACATTAATTATTATAGTACACATTAAAATTAAAAAAACGAACCATATGTACAAAAACATAAGTCGGGCGTTACATAGGATGTAACGCAGTTTTTACTATATATTGATTCATGCTTCATTTATACTATAATCAACACCAAATGTTTCTGATGAAAAATATGTCTCTCTGATTATGGTTCAGTTCTTTGATTTTCGTTTGTTGTTACAGAATTGGAATGAACATCTAACACGGTAGGGATAGCGGTACTGCTGACCAACGAATTGTACATTGAAAATCTGGCAGGATGGTTTCCTCTGCGAGTGCCGTAGAGGAGGCCGCTCTGAAGAACGGGCTTTCCCTTAAGACCAAGATGGCACAAGAGGATGAGAGCCCGACGGGATCTGTGAAGAACGGTAGGATTTCGTACCAAACTGCACTTATATCCCTTAGTGGTTTGCTTCTGCTCTATTCGGTTGTTTTCAAAAGGGTTCCATATTTATCCATTTGAAATTTGTTTAATTGGTGGCAAGTAGACTTTCATGCACTTTAGGTCATATTATTTTTGTCGGCTTGTCTTGCTGTATGCTACTATAATATAGGTGTGGCCACTGATGAAAGCTCGCAGAACTCAATCACATCCGAAAAAGATAAGGATAAAGCGGCTCAAAATGGCGCTGCTACGAACGGCGAACACAAAACGGGCGACATAGAAGCCGAGGATGAAGATTATGAAATACAGGAATTTGACGAGCCTGAGGAACCTGTAGTTGTTATCGAAGACGACGATGACGAGGTTCCGCCTGAACGAGAGACACGGGCTGATGATAACTCAGCTGTTAAGAAAGAGAAAACGGAAGAAGGTGACGTTGAAATTAAAGAAGTCAAGGTAGGTTCATCAAGAATAAACGATTTCGCAAAAGTTCGCAAGTGTTCTTCGCTGTGTGTCGTTTACAAACACTTTGTTCCCAAACAGTTGGCTGTATGATAAAGCAACATTTTGAATTACTGCCGCCGCTTATAAGTAGCAAATGTCTGATATGGGAAAGAAACATGACTTCGCCCTATGCTTATCCGGAAATTTTCACACAAGACTTCATGATAAATAACGTATTCTAATTTTTAGGAGCTTTCGAAATTACAAGTTTTTCGAAAGGTTTTTAAAGGACATGCGGCCGAAAAAGTTGAGTAAGCGATGTTTAAGTTGTCGATCGGTTGTAAAGACAGTTAGTGATAGCCATTTCAAACTTCTTCCCTTCCAACATCGATCTAGCATAAGCTATTTATAGATGGAATATTGATGTTTTGTTGTCTTAGGAGGACACCAAGATGGAGGTTAAGGCTGAGATTAAATTGGAAAAGCCTGAAGTAAAGGTAGAGAAGCCTGAAAAGGCGGAGAAAACGGAAAAGACAGAAAAAACGAAGAAGACGACAGAAAATGGTTGCGATTCAAAGAAGGACTCAGATGAACAATCGGAAAACGATGAGAATCGACCACACATCAAGATCGTACGGGATGTCCGTAGACTGGACAAAGGCCTGCCGAAATTCCTCCGTCGACGAGTGAAAGTTGGCCAATGGACGCCATGCGATATGCCGAAAAATGGCGAATTTAAAATGAAAGACAGTGAAGCACTGGTGGAAGTGCCATCGTTGACGTGTCCGATGTTAATCAAAGAGCGCGATGTTTTCGCGCGCCGCGTCAAGGATGGAAAAGTAATTCCGCCGAAGCCACGGAAAGCTCCGACGCATCAGCCAAATCAGTTCAAGCTCGGACAAACTTCCGTCGTCGACTTCTTTACGAGCTCGGCCGGCGATTTTCTAATGCAAATTGGCCTTGATCGGGTTAGCGAACACTACAACAAGGAACAGATCAAGGCTAAGGAACGAGAAATGCGTCGACACGGAAGGTCTGCCGAACTGCTCGAATCTGCAAAAAAGCACGCGGAAGACTTTCAAAAAAGCAAGGCACGTAATGCCGCCTTTCATCATAAACTCAAGCGTTGCCAGACGTGCGATTTCAAAACAGAGTCTCAGATGGTTCTTGAGGGTCATCTACTCACGCCGCATTTTACGCAACGGCGCGAGTTGCAATGCTCGTTCTGCCCATTTATTACGCGCGACGCCAAGGCCATCATCTTCCATATGGAGGCCCACCACAGTAAGGTGCCGGTCATGGAGCCGCCCCCGCAGTTCTACGAGTGTCCATTCTGTCCCTTCGAGACCAACTTGAAAAACAAAGCCGGCACGCATGTAAATCGCTGTCAGCGCTATTTCAACAACAACGTCAATCAGAGTCCTGGAAATGACTTCCAAGCGCCGGGCATGACGTCGAAGCCCATTACAAATGAAGATATCAAGATGTACGAGAAATTCTTCATCGCCTTAACACAAGCCAAGAATCAGGTAGGTTTCTCAAATTATTATATATTTTCAGTGGAAGCATGTAAATGGCGTACCGGCTTACTCGTATTTATGAATTTTACGACTAGCTTTTTTTATTTACTTTTACTAAGTAAATCGTTATTTGATGATTGCCGCTTGTAAGCTAGTGCATACACGAGGACACATTTAACTTCCGGAAAACTCCTTTAATATCGAAAATGTTGTATACTATAGGTGTTACCTTTAATAGTCTTTCGACTTGTTGGCATATCAGCTGCGCTCATGTTGAATTTCGCTTATATTGCGTCATGGATTTGTTTCACATGCTATTTGTCGTTTATTATATGCCTGTATTTATCCTAAAAAAATCTGGCTCTCGTTGGCCTTTACGCTCTATATGTACAGTTAATCTGGATCGTACACGCACAATGGCCAAGATTAAAAATCTTCGCATTCATGGCATGTTGGTGGAAATTGATTTTTTCATTATTGAAAATTATTCAACGATCTATTGTTGTATGTCTTGTATCTTCTGGTATTTACATCATGCTTGAATATAATAGGCCACAAAAATTAGGCTTAACTATTTTTGAGTATCATTCTTGTAAGAAGAATTATTACCTTCTGTAAATGTGTTTAGCGTCATACGGCATCATCAATTCTATCAGCCGCTATAGGAATTTGCCTGATTAAATTTTTTCACTTATTATTATCACCGGCCGCATTCTCTCTCTTTACGTTAACTATTTCCCGTCTGTTTTACAACACTCTTATTCATGACTTGATTTTCTTTTGTAAAACTCACCTGGTTACAGGCCGCTGCCCAAGCCGCCCAAGCCGCTCAGGCGGCCTCATCTGCTCAACAGCGGCAGCAGTTGCTTATGGCTGCTGCGGCAAGCCGTGGCAACAATTCCCGCGGGGGTACGAATGCTATTTACCAGCAACTACAAAATTTAGCTACTCGGCAGGGAACCGCAGCCGGTCGTACGAGCAACCAGGCCGGCCAAGGACGGGTGCAACAACAACAGTCCCCTAACGTCTCTCAGGCCAGCCTACTGCAACAGGCCCAGGCGATGGCCCAAGCTGCAGGGGTGAGGATTAACTATTTTAACTATTTAAAAATGTTATTTTCATTATTCTAGTAAGACGTCAGTCTTATTAGAAAATTCACAGCGCATATATAAAATATATGCGCTGTGAATTTTGCGCATATACATGCAGTATCATACAAACATACTGTTGACGATGCTGACGCAACAAATAATTATTAATTATTGTTAGATTAGCTAAATTATCGTATTTTGTTGTAGAAAGGCCGTGGGGCTTACACCCGATACATGCTTGCACTTCCCATCGGTTCAGTTCGAGCTACCAAGCTTAAGCTGTATTGAAATCGTGCAATGATTCAACCTGCCTCGAAGATGGCATATTGCTAAACGTTGTACGATTGTTATGCGTGCTTTTTATTGAATACTAGGCGGCAAGTCTTCTAAATGGAGCAGGTGGTGCGAATGGCGGCCTTTCTTCCCTCGCTCCGCACAACAGGGTGTCAGCTGCAGCAGCAGCGGCTAACCTGGCACGTATTCCTCAACAGCAAGGTAAGTCAAATGGCAATTGTATTCACGTCAACATTTGGGAACTTTATCGACAGCTAGACCAAACTTTTATCTGCCGCTCAACTATTAATCATATTGAATGCTCTTTTCTCGTCTTAGGCTTAAATGGCTGCTCCAGGCCTCTTATCATCGTACGTATGAGTACGTAGTCGGATTGTTTACGCTGTCTGTCTGTCTGTCTGTCGGTGTGTGCTTGTGTGTGACTGATCACTCAATATATTTGAATAAAAATAGGCGTGAGTCTGGATCAGAATGTCGGATATGGACACAGTTTTATAAACGTTTCTTTATACACAATTTGTGCTACGAGTCGTTAATTTTTTATAATTATCTTGGGCTGGTATTTGTCGTTTTGTATACAGTAAGCGGCAGAAGTCTAGGGAGTAAAGCTTCCGCCCTGTTCAACTGTATTTTATGAGACTCGGAAAATTTTGAACTAATGAATGCATTTGAACTTTTTTTTTTATTTAGCCGGAGCATAACATTATTCTAGCTTAACGTGTTAAGCTTACCCCTCTTACCCTCGTCCTAATCCCTTGAACTCCCGTTAGTACCTCAGATATACTATAGAGATCACAATAAACAATATTGTAATTGTTAAGCCTAACCAGTTGGTCTCTTCAGCGCATCTCAAGGCCCTGTTTGCAAAATTGGGCAATGATTCAAGCTTCAAACTGCACGTATTTAAACGTGGCTGTCGGTGCTATAATGAACAGCAATGAACGGACTGAGAACGTGATTGTTGCTAAGCCGACACAATTTACCAATATTTCATATTAAATATAAGCTACAAGAGCCGTTAATGCCACCATAAAAGAACACGGAAGATTTTGCCGACGTTGTTGCTAAGGATCCTAAAACTTTGGATGAAAACTCGGCCATTTTGTGAAGAACAAGAATCGAAGAGTGCACAAACAGCGAGATAAGACCCAATCTTCGATTTGGCTTTTTATTGTATTATGCGCGTTACTATACGTTGCTGCTTAATGATAAATCCAAATGTGTTAACGATAGTTTTTTGGTAGTTAATGTAAGTACGTTAGGCCTGTGTGCGTTCAGATATTATGTTATGTATGTTATGTTAATTAAGAATGATCTATTTTAGTGGGCAAGTAACATTTGCATTTGTTTTCGTTAACTATTAATATCTATTGCCCATCGATAGCCGATATTTCAAGTGATTATATAAAGCTGTGTGCGTGTATCCGACATCGAGTGTTTGTATTTTGCTTGTCAACATTTTAGTTCTTTTGCACCCGTTCGGTCTCTCTCTCTCTTCCCACATTGATTTCTCCACACATTTGCCAAAACCCCTATCGACTCGCTTTCTAAGTGAAAATCAACCAGTCAGTCAATCAGTGGCTACAACTTCCCACGTAACTACGTTCTGCTTCTGCTGCTTCTTGTCGCACTTCTTCCACAACTTCAACTTCTACTGCCTCTACTTCTACTAATTATTATCATCATGAATCTTTCTCAATCTCAGCCCTCAGCGAACACTCAGTTAATCGAATCGCCTCATATCACCACCATCAGCTGCTACTGCTACTACAGCTATCGAGACAGAGAGAAAGAGCCGACGAAACGAAACGTAACGAAAGAACGAATCAAATAGACGTAAAAAGCACGATTGATTGATCGATCAATCGATCGAACCAACGAACGAACGAAAATAACAGCAGACAGTGAGTGATCAGTGAACTAGAATGGGCAGACAGCTATGGTAGTGTCGTGCGCGCGTACTGAGTAGGATGTTGTTGTTGTTGTCTTCTGTTGTTGTACAGATGCGGCCAATGCAGCCATGGCGGCGGCGGCGGCAGCTGCCGCGAGTGCGGGCGCAAGCGGCGTCGGCAGTGTCAGCGGCGGCGTCAGTGGCGGCAGCAGCGGCAGCGTCGGGGCAGGTGGCGTCGCCGGCGGCGGCGTCGCTGGCGGCGGCGCGAACGGAACTTCGGGCACGACGGCTACTGATCCACGGGTAGCTCCCAAAGACCTATATGTTGACGAGTTCGACTACAAGTATAAGTTTAAGCAGTTCTGCGCGGACGGCTCGTCGCGTTGGTGCTGCACGAATCGCAAGTGTAAGGCGGCGTTCGTGATCCCGCGCGGCGAGTCCAAGCCGAGATTCCCTGTCGGTCCCGACATGCATAACCACAAGGCGTACAAAGTCGCTGAGGCGCTGGATCCTGCGAGCAACCCTGGCGCCGCCGTCGCCGCACAGCTGGCAGCCGCCGGCGTCAACATGCAAGCGCTAGCCGCGTTAACCAACGGGGGCACGAACACACAGGCGCTGTTTAGCGCGCTGACAGCCGCTGCCCGGGGACAAGGCGCTCAGAGCGCTCAGGCCCAGGCGCTCCTAGCAGCGTTGGGCGGGAAGGACGCCGCGGCCAACCTGGCCCAGGCGGCAGCTGCTGCAAGCGCCGCAAGTGCTGCCGCTGTAGCAGCTGCCGCAGCAGCTGCAGGAGGTGGTAACCCTAACACTAGCGCATCGGCTATCGCGGCGAATCAAGCGGCGGCAGCGGCCGCTGCTGCTGCGAACGCCGCTGGTGCGGCAGGTAGTCGGGTATCGTCAGGCGGGGTCGACATTTCCGACGGAAGGCTGCCAGACAAGGCTGAGCTAGTGCCAGGTATTACTTGATTCGATGAAAAACGATGAAGTTGATGACAAAGTTGATGTTGAAAACAGAAGGGGGTTGCGCGCGTGCGTGCCTGCATTTCTGTTGCAGGACAGCTGCTCGAGTAGGCTTGGAATCTGTAAAACGAAACGATATATGTTAGGGTCAGAGAACGATAAAGGGAAAGATGTATTTTGTTAAATTTGAGTTTATAATAGTTGAGAAGACGCGTTGGGAAATGAGACAATCATAGATTCTAGAGAGGGAATAACTTGGAAAATGTAGATATATCGCATTAAAGGGTGAAAAAATATGGCGCAGTAGAGCTCTAATCAATTAGCCAGTTAGTGTGAGAATGCTATTGAGTCTCTACATATATATATATATATATATATATATATATATATATATACATATATTACTAATCGAATGGCTTTCGTTCTGTTTTTCGCTTTCTGATACAAGAAACCCTATGACTTTAGTTCTTTCTCTGCCCCGTTTAAGGTACTCTGCGCGAAGAAAGCTTCGCGCTACTGTCATATTGCTTTACCTGTGAGCCTTCTAACTGCTATGCATTTTTGTCTGTACGTGCTTTAAAAGCGGGTGCCTTACGCCCGTTATAGTGTAACAACTTTCTTCCGCGGATAGCCCTTGTTGCTTTCGCTTTCCTCCTCACAAAGGAAAACAAAGTGATCTAAGAGCGTGGAACTGCCTCATAACGCAGTACCTTTAATGGCACAACCTCACAATGTATCACACGCGTCACGCATCTTCACTGTTTCGCCGTAATAGCCTCTGTTTACTACTACTACTACTACTACTATTACTACTATTTCGGCTGCCTTTTGCCATTTCTTTTTCACAACACTAGGTTTGGCATGCTAACTGCTTGAATCGCTGGCACCAATGTGACTACTTTTTCGTTCTGTGGATCGTCGTTCGATTAACACAACAGGCTGGAGTTCACAACCTCACTAACAGTAATAACGACAAGGACAACACCTCGGTTATCAGCGGATTTCTATGGGTAGATAAGGGTATGGCTCCTGCGTGAGAACATGACACGATTCGTGTCATGTAGCTTGGACGAGATGACTGAACTTCACATGTCAGTTGTTCCGCCATATGCTGCACTGACTGCAGTTACTCCTCTTATCTCTGTTTTCGCTGACGTTATCTCACTAACCGCACTCTGTTTCACTGCTAATCGACACTAATCATTCGGTCACCACGAAGGTTAGCACGAATTTCTGCCCAATGAAGGCCATAACCGACCGCGCCGTTGTCATGAGTTGGCAATCGTTGGGGCTGCTTTCAAACCACACCTGTCTTTCGTTTCTGAGAACAGCTCTATAT